GCGGGGACGGCTGCAGAGGCAGCGACAGAAACGTCCACGATGCTCGCCTCACCCAAAACGGCAGATGCAGTGAATGCCACTAAGGAATGCAAGAAGGAATAGGGGCATGCACACTGTGGGAGGGGAAGGAGCAGAACCTTTTCCAACCTCAGAGAGGAGCCCAGGAAGCTGTACTAGGAGTAGCGTAATCCATGTCCCCCTTTTCCATTCCCTGGGGCTGGTCTCCACATCTCTCACCCTGCAGTTTCCTACAGAAGGCCGACTGCATTTGCAAGAGCACAAGTACTTGTGTTCCTCACAGTATTTCTTCTTTTACACCCAGTCATTCAGGTCTGGGAGGAAAAGAAGATGGGAAGGCAGGGACTGAGAGACCAAGAGAGTATATTGCTTCATCCTGAAGGAATTGGCCGCTGCTCTGGGCTTCTTCACTGTGCGATTTCTGTCCTACCCCCACTCATTCCCCCTCTCATCACTTTCAGCATAAAAGACCTGGACACGTTCACATGGCACATGCATCCCTGATGTCCTTTTCATTTGGGGGCTACAGTGGGATGGATGGTTGTATTGAGCATGGACTGGACTTCTGCAGAGAGGGAATGAAATCCTGGGGAAAATTTAAAACCATCACACACACACACACACACACACACACACACACAAGTTTGTCATCCAGGAGCAAGCTGGCTTGTAAGGGAGTCGACAGAGCTGTACACCATGTGATATCTTCAGCCCCTGCTTGGGCCCAGGGAGATACAATCACAGGAGGTTGCTTCTCACATTTCCATGGGAGAATATTGCATATTTCCAACCTGCCCCACAGCCCCTGCTCCGAGCAGGCATCGCTGGTACCGTTACACGCTGCATATGGCTCAGATTGGGCTCTGTCACTCGAGACACACCAGGGCCACTTCCGAGGTGTCTCCAGCAAACACTTGTTGGCATAACCAGGCTGCTGATTCTAGTGATGCACAACTTGTGACCAATGCAACTGCACTGCCACGTGATCTTAGGGCAGTCAGAGTTATTCCTGCACAAAGGTGCTTTGCAGCCCAGCAGAAAGGTTGGAATAAAGGTCAGCTTTGCTGAGAGCTGCTGCATCTGCAATGGGAGCGCTCTGTCTGCACAGCATCCTACTGTAACTACACCAGGGAAGTGCTCTGAGCTCAGACCTGGCCCAGGTCTGCTTCTCAGGCTCCTGGTGACCTGAGTTCAGAGAAAATGAAAGCATACAGGACAAATTAGGATAAAGAAGTATAAACTGTTTGACATGTTATCAAATGAACAGTAGAGCATAGGTCCATTCATGTGGTATACGCAGGTGAATGGAGATTCACAGCTTTAGGGTCAGGTAGCAAAACAGACTTGTGGACCATATTCCAAGGGAGCGATCGTATAGCCCTGCCGAACTACTCAAGCACCAGGGAAACCAAAGCCATCTCTGCTTCCTGGTATGACTTCTGCTACTGCACATGTGAAGCAGGGGGCAAAGCAGATGCCCTTACACCCAAATACAGGCAACAATACAGAACAGATGAGAACAGATGACCACAGTGATTTTTTCTATAAAATACCTGTTTGTTCCCACTAAAAGAATTCAGAGTTCTAAGGACAATTCCTGTTTGTATTTTAAGCAGGGGGGAAAAAACTCCCACAACTCTTTTGTCCAACAGGGAAAAGTGGTAGGCTGTTTAAAACAAAACAGTGAGGATATTTTTGCACAGCAAATCAAAAATACAAAACAGGACCGATCCAGTTTTTCCTAATTTGAGAAACATTCCAGTCTGCTCTAAATCTTCTGTGAGCACAGAGATGAACGTACAGCTCTCTCTCACCAGATGGCATCGCAAGACTTTAGTTTGGGAGCTGCTCTGTTCACTGAAAAGTCAAGTGACTTATTCAAGGAGCCTAGGGTATGTGTACATGCCAGGGGAGTTAATGTAGACCACCCGAAAATTTTAATGCAGCTTTTTTTAGTGTGGTGCATTTTTGTTGGCACGAACAGCGTTTTCATGTGAGTTGAGCCCCCGTAGGTCATTCCCTGCAGAGTTCAGTAGGGGCAGTCAAATCCCAGTTCACCCCCTAGAATGTCTCTGCTAATGTATTACTGCAGGAGGCGCACGTGAGCCACCCGGGCTCCCAGTCCCCACCCCCGGACTCTCACCGGGAGTCTCCCCTGGGCACGGTCATGGGCACCCCAAAATCCTTGTCACTTGGACCAGCCTATGCTAATTCAATCTGGTCTCTCTCCATCAGTACACGATCCCAAACCCCATCCCAATCCCAACAAGCCACGTGAAACCTGCCCTCCCGTTCCTTTCCCTTCCCATCCCACCATGTTACAAATAAATGGGGGCCAGGGTCATTAACTATAGCTGCTTAATAACTGCTTTATTATAAGAGTAGTGGGTGGGGCTGTGATATCATAAGAGTAGAGGGAGGGTGGGTGGGCAGGTGGGTAGGTCTGCTCATGGTCGCTGTCACCTAGCTTCCCTTCAATCATTAGGTCACTGATTAGGTCATCCCCAGTTGCCAGTACCAGGTCGAGCAACACTTTACCTCTCGTTGGCCCGTAGACTTCTTGTGTCAGATAGAGCTCAGTCACACACGAGAAGAAGCTCTGCGACCGCTCAGATTTGACCAAGCACGCTTACCACAAGATGCCTGGGTAGTTGAAGTCTCCCATGACAACCATGGACCGGGAGCATGCGGCCTCAGCCAATTCCCTGGCAAACTCCTGGTCAAGCCCTTGATTTTGGGTAGGAGATCTGTAGAAGACTCCCACCACTGTGTCCCCTGTGCATGTTCTCCACAGATTTTAACCCAGAGGGTCTCCGGTTGTCCACCCTGGGCACCAATGTCAGCTTGCAGGGACACGTAGTTTTCCTTGACATGGAGAGCTACACCCCCGTCCCTTTTGTCCATTCAATCTCTCCTGTACAGGGTATAGCCATCTATACCTGTGGCCCAGTCATGGGCAGTGTCCCACCAGGTCTCCGTTATCCCGATGACCTTGTAATTATTTGTGTTAAGCAGGAGGACAAGTCCGTCCTGTTTATTCCCCAAGCTCCTGGCATTTGTGTACAGGCACACAAGTGTCCCCTTGGGGGCCCTTGCCTTGCCCACCGCTCGTTCCAGGGCCGGGGCAGAGGTAGACTTCCTTAAGTGCCTTGACCTGCTGGCTTTGCGAGGGTTGCTCAGTGGGCCAGCATTGGCGGTAATCCCCTCGTCCTCTGGTGGGATCAGTTTAAAGCCCAGTGGAGCAGGTCAGCCAGACCGGCTGAGAAGAGCCTCCTCCCCAGAGGAGGGAGGTGGAGGCCAGCCTTCCCAGCAGCTCGCTGCCTCTCTCTCCAAAGAGTGGACTGTAGTCATGGAAGCCAAAGCCTTCCCGATGATACCAGCGCTGCAGTCTTTGATTCAGTACCTCTATCCTTCTCTCCCTCCTCCACACATAGCCGAAGACTGGGAGGATCGAAGAAAACACCACCTGTGCCTCTAAACCCTTTAGCCCTGCTCCTAAATCCCTGTAGCGCTTCATGATCCAGGTGGGAGTGCTCCGAGGTGTGTCATTTGTGTCCACATGGATAAGGAGCATAGGGAAGTGGTCAGTGGGTAGAATTCCTTCCCTGGAGGTGCCAAATTTCAGCCGATTTTGGGTTTTAAACTTCACTGCAGATCAACAAGGAAGTTTTTTTACCTCCGTGCCAGCCATCTGACACCTCCAGGGAAGGAATTCTACCTGATCAACACAGCAAAGAGCTACTCAACACAGCTCACAAAGACACTCTCATGGACCCAGAGGGACAGGCTTCCATCTTCATAGATTCATAGATGTTAGGGTCGGAAGGGACCTCAATAGATCATCGAGTCCGACCCCTTCAACACCACCTGCCTTTCACAGCTGATTTTTAGATCACTTGCAAATCATCTCGGAGCCAAATTTGCATGTTGTACACCCAGTCAACGCCCTCCTGATGCTCAGAGCCAGTATAAGTGCTCCAGGGCACTTGGTCCAGACTGGTGATCAGTGCAGGCCAGGCACACGTACCAAGATGGCACCACTGACTCCCCTGCTCTGCCTCGTGGTGCTCTGGGTCCAGGGTAAGCAGCAAACTGGGAGCTTCATTATAGTAAAACCATCCTTTTTACAGAAATGAACAGTGCTAGGAATGGGTTTATTGGGTGCTTAAAAATGCTCAGAGAAATGGACTCCATTAAGAAGGAGGAACTGCCATGGAGTCAAAAGACTTACTGTATCCCTATGACCAGCGTCCAAAGCCCACTGGAGTGAACAGAAGTTGTTTTTGGTTTTTTTTTTATGTGGATGTCCAAGCGCTGAGGCTATAACTCTAAATGAGCAGTAAAAAAGGACTAGAAGGAAATAAGCAGTCCTGGCTGAACGACTGCATTTCATCCGGGAGACAAACATAACTTAATTCTGTAAGGAGGCATACAAGGAACATTGCAAAGCATCCATGTTGTCTAGTTTGAGTGATTACTTAACTTGATGGAGACACTATGTTAATTCAACTTTTGTGTTTACTTCTAGGTTCCTCCGGGCAGATTGTGCTGACTCAGACCCCAGAGTCCCTGGCGGTGTCTCCAGGAGATCGAGTGACCATCAAGTGCAAAGCCAGCTCCAGCCTTACTTATAGTAGCTCTGGGAGTACCTATCAGCTGTTAGCCTGGTACCAACAGAAACCTGGACAAGCTCCAAAGCTCCTTATCTATAACGCTGTCACCCGGCAGTCGGGAGTGCCAGCCCGGTTCAGCGGCAGTGGCTCTGGCACTGATTTCACTCTCACCATCAGCAGTGTTGAAGCTGAAGATGCTGGAGATTATTACTGTCACCAGTACCGCAGCTCACATCACACAGTGATACAAACCCATACAAAAACCTCCCCAGGCTGCCCAGCCCAGCACCACAGCTGCTTCCTGAAGACTCACTTGATTGAACAACTGCTACACTCAGTAGCAGCTCTGGGGTTTCCCCAGGACACAAACACGTCACTGTCTGACCCACAGACACCACTACACTGCCTGCTGCCCAGCCTGCGGGACAGATCATCCCAGGCGTGCAGTCCAAGGGAGTTTCCTCCCATATCTCAGAGATTTCACCCCACCTGAAATAGAGGCTGACATTTCCTTCCAACATAACATTTATTTTCTTCCTGGAAACCAAGCGATCGCTGTTCCTCCCCATGCCATAAACACAGTAGGCCCCCATCAGAGTGAGAGCTGGCAGGGCCAGCCCAGGGCTTCACAGGCAGCGCTGCTGTAGGGAGGCCTGGCTCTCGGCTGGGACGGCTGCAGAGGCAGCGACAGAAACGTCCACGATGCTCGCCTCACCCAAAACGGCAGATGCAGTGAATGCCACTAAGGAATGCAAGAAGGAATAGGGGCATGCACACTGTGGGAGGGGAAGGAGCAGAACCTTTTCCAACCTCAGAGAGGAGCCCAGGAAGCTGTACTAGGAGTAGCGTAATCCATGTCCCCCTTTTCCATTCCCTGGGGCTGGTCTCCACATCTCTCACCCTGCAGTTTCCTACAGAAGGCCGACTGCATTTGCAAGAGCACAAGTACTTGTGTTCCTCACAGTATTTCTTCTTTTACACCCAGTCATTCAGGTCTGGGAGGAAAAGAAGATGGGAAGGCAGGGACTGAGAGACCAAGAGAGTATATTGCTTCATCCTGAAGGAATTGGCCGCTGCTCTGGGCTTCTTCACTGTACGATTTCCGTCCTACCCCCACTCATTCCCCCTCTCATCACTTTCAGCATAAAAGACCTGGACACGTTCACATGGCACATGCATCCCTGATGTCCTTTTCATTTGGGGGCTACAGTGGGATGGATGGTTGTATTGAGCATGGACTGGACTTCTGCAGAGAGGGAATGAAATCCTGGGGAAAATTTAAAACCATCACACACACACACACACACACACACACACACACAAGTTTGTCATCCAGGAGCAAGCTGGCTTGTAAGGGAGTCGACAGAGCTGTACACCATGTGATATCTTCAGCCCCTGCTTGGGCCCAGGGAGATACAATCACAGGAGGTTGCTTCTCACATTTCCATGGGAGAATATTGCATATTTCCAACCTGCCCCACAGCCCCTGCTCCGAGCAGGCATCGCTGGTACCGTTACACGCTGCATATGGCTCAGAT